CCAAGAGCAGTCCCCAGCCCGTGTGTCCCCCCAGACCCCTGGCTTAGGGCAGATGGAGGGTCCGCAGCTCCCCCTGCTTCCTGGGAGGCTCTTACCATGGCCCGGCTGCAGCTCTTCGGCCCCCGAGGCCCCGCCACCAGGCTGGAAGCTGGAGCCGGATTGGGGTAAGAGCCACGCACCCTCCACCTGCCCCAGGCTCCCCAACCAGGCTCCGGCTTGGCCGGGGGGAGGGGTCTTAGGAGGAAGAGGAAGGGCGGGGGTGGGGCCTTGTGCTCCCCCCCACACACACTTTTAGGAAGAATCCTCCTGCCTCCAGTCCCCCTGCTCCAATGACTCATCTTAAATTATTTATTCATAGTGAAACAGCTTCAACAAGAGAGACTGAGGGAGCCCCACATCAGACTATCCCTTAGCCCCGTGATTAGAGCATGCTCACAAGAGGTCCCTGTTCAAATCCCTTCTCCCCCTCAGATGGAGGAGGGATTTGAACCAGGTGAGTATCTTAATCACTGGGCTAAAACTTATGAGGGAGGTGGTCCTCCTTCCATCCATTTTGTGTAAGCTCACCTACAGGGGCCTCATCCAATAGTTGAGCTCTGAACATGTTTACTGGATCTGGACCACAGACAAGTTAGGTGGAGGAATGCCTGTCTTTGTGAATTGCTCTGGGGCTCAGGGATCTGGACACCTGGCATTGGACTGCTGTGTGCATTTGAGAGGTACAAAAATATAGGTGCCTAGAGTAGGTATAGTTCGACTTCTATATTTGCGGAGACAGCTCCAGTCAGGCAATGGGGCTACAGATGGTGGGGCAAATTCCACGTTTACCAGAGGTTTGCAGTTTCGCTCTGCCCCCCAAACTATGCCTGTGGTGCCTAGGTAACTTTTGGGGCAGAAATTTTGGTGCCAAGTGAATTTTGGTGCCAAGTCTTTTGTGAATCTAGCTCAGTGATTCTCAAACTTTTGTACTGGTGACCCCTTTCACATAGCAAACCTCTGAGTGCGACCCCCCTTATAAATTAAAAACATTTTTTTGTATATTTAACACCATTATAAATGCTGGAAGCAAAGCAGGGTTTGGGGTGGAGGCTGACAGCTCGCGAACCCCCGTGTAATAACCTCACAACCCCCTGTGGGGTCCTAACCCCCAGTGTGACAACCCCTGCTAGCTCTGTGTGTTATAGGTTCTATGTTGCTAATAGTTAACAGAGATTTTCCTTTAACTCAAGTAGATGAGTCCTGTGTTTCTAAAGAAGGAAGAGTTAAGCACTATCGCCTCTGTTACTGAGAAGTTGTGAATGAGTATGGCATACAGCGTAGCATATCCAGCATCTGTGTTTGTATAGCACTTAGCATAATGAGGTCCTGGGTCCATAACTGGCAATTGTACTAGGTGGCTAGAAATTGTTACAGTATCATCCCCATTTTACAGATGGTGAAAATGAGGTAAAGCTGTTCAGTGATTTCCAAAATCCATGAAGTGAGTCCATGTCAGAATAGTGATTAGAAGTAGCAGTTGCCAGTTCTCAGTCGTGTGCTCAAATCACTAGACTGAGTCTAGCTTTATGGTTGGTACACACTGCATGAGTACCCATATGTAAATATGTAAACTTTCTAAATTGCACAACGTATGTCTGTTTTGCAAACAATTTACTGTGTTATTTCTTTTCCCAGTATATGTGCTCCTCCCAACAAAATGTTCTAGGCTTTTATTTAGTTTGTGAAAGTTTCTATGGTTGTAACTTTTAGGACAATTATGTCTTTTTAATATTTATCTGTTTCAAATCAGTTTTTATAGAGTGGATATAATACATAAATTTAAATCATTTTAACGATACAATATGTAAACTTTTCACAAACAATACTCAGAATACATGAACAGGACATATTACATTACTGTATAACACAATATAATCAAACTATAATTTGATATAGACTTTCAGTTCTTCCTTTTGAATGGGGAATGGTCTCTAAAATCATAGTATTCTTTTTTAAAATAAAAATATTTGCAGGCTGTAAAAATAGCAAAATTCTGTCAAAGTGCCTCACGTGACACTTGCAGTTCAAGTCAAAAGAGGTTTCAAACTACTTTAGTACATCAGTTAAGCATGATTACATGTATCTTAAACAAAAAATCCATGTAGTATTATTTTAAATAGTTAACATACAGTATTTCAACAGGGGAAACACTTATTAGATCACAACAATCTATTTTACGCCATCAGCATTGCAGAGGGGATTATAATTGTGTTAAATTTTCATATTACTCATATTTACACATTAATGAACAGATGCATTGTTACTATTGGGATTTTGCCATTTGGCCTTTCACATCCCTAATCACGAATTTCCTACTGAGATCTTTACCGTTCTAGCAGAAATTCAGTCATTGATACATGGCTGTCCATTGAATTCATTATTGTTAGCTTGTTTGTTGCAGCTCTTCCTGAATTACCAGTAGAGTCAGGTTGCAAGAACAGTAATTTGTAACATGAGTTGTTTCATTACAGTCAATAGGTTTTTATTGACAAAACCAAAAAAAAACAAAACCCTAAAAAATAGCATTGATGTTAATCACAGCCACTCCTATCCTGGTTTATGCATAGAAAGTTAACTATGATTTCTGATCAAGCACCTTCCAATAACATGGTCATGAAGGAGTCATTCATTTGGAGGGACTATTTGTTACAAGGAGGGTAATTGTACTACGTTGCTGTGTAGCTGTGCTATGTCTCTGCTTGGTAGTTAATACAGCGGCCTGCAGTGAACCTGGAGTGTTCTATAGGCTTCAGAAACCAGGCTACTGTTGCTTTAACTCTCCAAGTTAGACAGAAGACTTCTGTTTCTTTACTAGCACACTACAGCGCATATTTTGTCTAGCTGCAGGGGAAAAGCTTTGTCATGGACTTTGCTGACAATAGACTTAAAAGTAAAACGGTCTACTTTTGGTGCCTGGAGGTTCTGTAGCCTATTGTTAGTTCACAATGGATTTCTATTGCTGCATTCCTGGTTTGCAAAGGTTTGTTAGCTTTTAATGACTGACAGTCCTCTATTGCAAATACCACATTGGCTCTGGCCTGTTTACATGCTACTCAAGAATTTTTGAAAAACACAGGAAAAAAGAAAACAGCAATGTTTATTTGACCTATTCAAGATATGTTTTAAAAAATGGTTTCCTTCATGAAGTGTTTACTGGGAAAGTACAAACTTTGGAAATATTTGTAAAAGTGTTTAAAGCACAGTGGAATCTTCTTATCATGAACTCAGGAATGGAAATATTAATGTTATAACGTTAACATGCAGCTTCTCGTAGCTATTTCATTGTGATCTAATTGTAATTTTTGAGCTTGTAATTAAATCTTTTATTAATGTAGTTCTTGTTATTACAAAAAAGTTAGAATAAAACTTCATTCACCCTACCATTTAAAGAGCAGAATTCCTATAATTATATATTTTTTCAGTATTAAACTGGAGACCAAACATTTAGGGATGGTGTGTGTGAGAGAGAATATTATATTATATTATATTATATTATATTATATTATATTATATTATATTTATTGTTAGTTTATGAAATAAATATTTTGGGTTCACTTTCATTTTCCACAAATCCTTTATAAAGAGAGAATAAAATATTATATTATTGGTATTTTGAGAGAGAAAGAAACGTTTGATATGGTTTTATTGAAAATTGCACACAGATTTTGTGACACTGATTCCTGAGAGCTTTAAGATAGGGGCTCAAGAAGGTTGGCAAAATTAGCCAAACAAGATAATGAAGGCTCCTCATAAAGCTTTTTACTGTGGGGAAAATTAACCAGTTGCTAATAATTGTATGGTCCCTAGGCCAGACGGTCCCTTTGATAAGTTAACATGTACTCCTTTTATGCTCCTGGTAGGGGGTAAACAAATGCCTGAACAAATACAAATACACATAAACACAAATGTGGAGAATAGCAGTATATGTCTTAGATCCAGATAATAAGTGTGGGTATTGTTATTTAGATGGCGCATACTGGGACACTTATCTTTTAGTACACTCCATTTTCTAACTGAATGCAGTACTAATCGTGGGATTGAAAGCCATTGTAATTGTGTACCCATCTAAATGCTGACAAGAATATACAATTACATTGTTTGGAACTGAGTTTAATGTTCTCTGAATTTTATTAGCATTTATATTTACTTATGCATTAAAATTCCACACAAAAAAGAGGTCAAAATGCAAGAGTTAGAGACATAAATATCGGCCGCATCCACACCCTCAGTGTATTTTCCCCTGAAAATATTGAACAAATATATTTTATTATAAAAAGGAAGTGATAGAAATCTGAAATAAGAAAATAATGGGTTTCCATTCTAGGCATTGCTTCCCCCCACCTCCCCACTTCTGGATTTTACAGTCTTTGTAAAGCTTTTTATCACACAAAACTTTTTATTATTATTATTATTTTTATTATTATTTACAATGTCTGAATATGTGTGTGTTACTGGAAAATCTTTCCACGGTGTACTTACCACCACACGATGTTTAAACACACATTATAAAGTGGATGTAATTGTAAACACACAGAGGGACATAATTACATGTAGCAGATTTAGGAGCTAATTCTTTGCCTTTTTTTTACTCTGCATTTTCTCAACATAATTATTTTTTGACTGCAGACTAACACCCTGAAATTGACAAGCATCCATTATAAGCAGGAACTTGTTCACTAAATTGAAAAACAATGAATTGCAGGTTTATATGTGCCCATTGTCATACAGAATTACTATGGCTTTGTTCCACAAGAGGAAAAAGCTAATGATTTTGAAACAGCAGGTGACAAAACACATTCTCTCCCCCCCCCCCCTCTTCTTATCAGTTTGTTGATGAAGTCATTACGAATTGGGGCCCAGAATAGGGTTGGCCTTATTTTTAGCAGATAGACTTTTAATGAGTTCTATTGTGGAGCCAGTCATGTTGATTTTCTTACATTTTTTTTTCTCCCTTCACTCAGAAACTCCCAGTATTGAAAAGCTACTATCAAAGGACTGGAAAGACAAGCTTCTTGCCATGGGATCAGGGAACTTTGGAGAAATAAAAGGTAACATTGTCACTGTGATCCTACAGAGTTAAAATGAAACAAAAATAAAATGTGTATATATAATTAGCATTATGGAACTTCTTCATGTTTTTTGTTTTGTTTCTCATTTCTGTGTTTGTTGGCAGTGTACAATCTCCCTGTGTGATTTTTAATAAACCATGGTATGTCCTAAATGAACAAGCCACTTTCATTTATGTAAGGCTTTTGTTCCATCTTTAATTCTGTTTTTATCAATATAAGGGGAGTCTATTATAGGATTCATATAAAACCCAGCAGAGATTTTCACAGTTCGCATATTAACATAGGGTTTAGCATCCATCTACAGCAGGAACTACACATCTGAAATCGGAAGGAGATCAGAAATGTTTGCTATTGTTGGTGCAGATTGTGATAATATTGTGCAATAGATGAAAGGGCAAAGTTTTTGTAGTAAAGCATGTTCCTTTAAAGTCCTGCTGTCGAAGGAAAATGCAAAATGTGACCATTATTCAGCAGTAGTACCTTCTGTTTTGCCAAGTTATTTACCCATTTTATATATGTGAGGTCATTTTAGGAAACCGGTAGTTGTTTATTTTTATACAGTATTTCTGCTCAAAATAAGTGTGTCAAACTTGATGTAAATTCCAAAGAAGCCGATGTTCCCCTAAAAGAAAACAGTGTGAGACTCCCACTTCCTACATGATAGTCAGATGGGGCTACTGTGATCATCTAATCTGACCTCCTGTATAACATAGAACTTCCCCGAATTGATTTAGATAAATTCATGGAGGCTATTAGCCAAGATGGGCAGGGATAGTGTCCCTAGCCTCTGTTTGCCAGAAGCTGAGAATGGGCGACAGGGGATGGATCACTTGGTGATTACCTGTTCTGTTCATTCCCTCTGGGGCACCTGGCATTGGCCACTGTCAGAAGACAGGATGCTGGGCTAGGTGGACCCAGTATGGCCGTTCTTATGTTCTTAATCCTGTTTGAACTAGAACATGTCTTGCACCACTTACATCAATGCAAATCCAGAGCAGCTCCATTAAAGTCAATGGAATACACCAGTGTAAAAGTGGTGTGACATCAGAATTAAGCCCTACTTATTTTTAATAGACCTAGTTTTCTGCTGTTGTTTTACTCGTATTGGGGCAAACCCTGAAGTCCTTATTCAAACAAATTCCCAAAAACTTACTCCAGACAGTTTTAAGGACCTGTTTCACAGTGCACAGTAATACTCAGTAAAATGTTGAAACAAAAGCTGTCAATTTACTCTAATCCTAAAAGGCAGTCTCTTAGAGAATAATTCATAGGTTTATATTAAAACTTAGTATTTTATTCATATGTTCCTTTCAGCTTGTCACTCACAAATAAGCCACCGGCACTAGCTTGCTCTAGTCCACCAACTTACACAAGAGGGAAAGTATGCCATTTGCTCCCCCCAACTTCTCTAGCTAGGGATTGAAACTCATATGAGTCCAGAATAAATATACGCATCTGGTACACTTATTTGATAACTTGATGACCAAACACAGCACTTCAGCAGCAAGTAGCCTGAGATATTACTCTTATTATAAGTGGGCCAAATTCTGAATTCCTTACTCAGTCTTTGCACTCGCAAACGCATTTGAGCACATTTTCCTCACATGTGTGAGTCAATTGGCCAGAGAGGGCTATTGCTAATATCTCGGCTTATGTGTGATTAGTACATATTAAAAAAGTATATGATTTAAGTAACCCTACGATGTGGTGTAAACTGATTCATTAATCTTTAAGGCGTTTCAGGCTGAGGGTCCATAGATGGCTTTCATTTCAGCTTTCGATGTTGTGTTGCTGCAGCAGCAACCGCAAGCTCTCTGGAACTTCTTTAACCCTTGAGATGCTGGAGTTTTAAAAAAATTACTCCCTATGATCCTCCACTCTCTTCGGACTGAGTAAAGTCTCTGAAGCACGCTCTGTGCTAAGAAGGCAGTCTCTTCTGAATCCCTATGATCTTGTTCTGTTGGAGGGCAGTCTTTTTTCTCCCTTCCTCTCTTTCCCCTTCACAAGTTAAACATGAAAGCAGCAGCGACTATAAGATAACACGAAAGAAATTCAACAGCTCTTTCAGTCTTGCCTGGGAGGCAGGGGGAGGATGGGGAGCAAGCGTACAGCCTCAAAGAAGAGTTTTATTTGCTTTAACTTTTGTTTTTAAATATCGTATTTTGAACACAAGTTGAGTTATTGTTTCATAGCTTTGTTCAAAGTCTCACACCCAGTGCATTTTACTAGAACTGTGGTTCTATGGCTGGGGGCATGGTTATTAGGTGTTTGGATCAGGTTTGGCAGTAAGCTGTGAAAACAGGCGCTGGTTTATTTTTCCTACTGACTGCCGTGACAGTTGCAATTATTGTGCATTGTTTGTAGGTGGCTAGAAAGAAGGGAGGATACAATAGAGCGTTGCCCTCTGGAGGTAAATGAATTTGACTTACAGGTTCTTGGGGGGGTCATGCAGGCTGATTATTTAGTGCCCAGGAATGTAGTTTTCATGCCACCGCCAGCCATGAGCGACTAGCAAACAATAGGTCAGTGGTATTGCAGCTGTATTTAGTGAGACAACATGAAAGGTGTGCAAGTTGAGCTGTTTTATATATATACACACACACACACACGCATTGTACTGGAAAGAAGTAATGTTTTTGCCCTGCTATGTGAACATGAGGTTATTAACAGTTTTTCAAGTGTAATTTTTAAATTCTGTATATATATATATATATTTGGCTTGGCAACTGCATTTAAAAAAAACATTTCTCTATTAGTGATATTTGGAAACGTGTTCTCAAATAATGTCTTTTTTTATTAGGACATTCTGGAAAGTGTACAGGACTGAAGATGTTTTGCCCAACTATTTTGTATAGCAAATAGTTTTTTCCATTTAAATGTTCAAAATTTCATTGTGTTTTTCATTAGATCCAGGGGAGTTTTACAGGGTTGTGTGCTGCAGATTCAGCACTAGGTTGCTTATTGTTATTGCCTGGGTTTATGTCATTAACAGTGAATTATAGTGTCTAGTAGAGGCAAAAATCAGAGGAAGATTAGACTGCAGCAAGAATCTTTATTTTCTGTTCCTGTTATTTCTTTTAAATAAACAAATGGTAATATTTTACCAGAGGTAGGGAAGTATGTGCATTAGCTAGAGCAAGCACCAGCGACATCAGGATTCGCCAGTTCTAATCCCAACTCTGCCGCTTATTTGTTCTGTGACTTTCAGCAAGTCTTTTAATATCTCTTTCTCAATTTACCCATCTTTACAATGGGAGAAGCAATGCTTACTCATCTTCCAGGGAGTGCTCAGAGACCTAATTATTAGTTGTATTTCATTTTGAGATCATCAGGTGGAAGGATCCATATATGTCCAATTATAAAAGAAAAGGGAAAATTAGTGTTTTATTCTTGTAGTGTGACTGTATGTGTGTATTCTGGAAAAGTTCATTCCAGTTTCATACACATTTCAGGGATATCACCTACATTTAAAATTGCGGGAAACTTCCAGAACCAGTAATATCTATAAAAATTGAATTAAACAAGTGTATCCATTGTATATTGTGTGTGTTTGTATAGATATATAGCAGAGGTGGGCAAACTATGGCTAGCAGGCCCCTCCTGTCTGACCCCTGAGCTCCTGGCCCGGGAAGCTCGCCCCCGGCCCATCCCCTGCTGTTCTCCCTTCTCTGGGTGGCAGAGCTGAGACCTCCTGGGGCAGAGCCTGGCCTGACCCGGTGCTCTGTGCTGCGTGGTGGCGACGGCGTGGCTGGCTCCACCTGGGTGGCACGGCTGTAGCGCCACCAGCCACCGGTGCTCCAGGCAGTGTGGTAAGGGGGCAGGGAGCGGGGGGGGGGGTTGGATAGAGGGCAGGGGAGTTCGGGGTAGTGGTCTGGGGGCACTAGTGTAGATAGGGGTTGGGGGGGCAGAGGGCAGGGAACAGGGGGGTTGAATGGGGGCAGGGGTCCCGGGGGGGCAGTCAGGAAGGGAGGGGGGGTTGGATGGGGCGGCGGGGGGCAGTCAGGGGCAGGGGTTCCGGATGGGGCGGCTGGGGGCAGTCAGGGGTGGGGGTTCTGGGGGCTGTCATGGGGATGGGGGGGGGTGGATGGGGCAAGAGTCCGGGGGGGGCATCAGGGGACGAGAAGCGGGGGCGGGGTCGGATAGGGGGCAGGGCTGGGCCATACAATTTCTGAAACCCGATGTGGCCCTCAGACCAAAAAGTTTTCCCGCCCCTGATATATAGTAATAGTGGGTAGAAGAAAAGTACAAGTCTGAGGATGGAGGCTTCCAAGGAGAGCTTATTTTGAAAGTCACACAATTTTGAATCTGCTCAAAGCAAGTCAATCCAGAGTAGACTAAATGAAATTCCAGTATAAGATGCTCTTTAATTCTTTTCAAAGCACCAAGCAATTAAGTTGTTAAAAACTTTTAAAATATGTATTGAATTAGTTAGATATGTTTAAACAGAAATTCTTTCTACATCCACTGTTTTTGCAAATGGGTTCAGAAAAGCCCGTTGGATTAGTCATGGGTAATGCACTTTATTGGATTCAGTGAAGCAGGATGAGTTTCAGAGCTAAAACTGATCACCTACAGGAGTTCGATTTCCTCCCAGTTCAGCACAGCACATTAGCTTCCATGTAGTATAAGGTGAGAGTGGTTGTCTTCCTCCATAGCATTAATATTGGCTACAGCAGAGGCAGCATATAGGATGGACCAATGGCCTGGTGCAATATGGCAAATCCTGAATTGCTGTGTTCCACTGTCTCCACACCCGGAAAATGCTCCGCTGTTGTTAATGGTATTTCAGTTCCACCAGTGTTAGCATTGTTGGAAGTCCTATTGTAGATGGGAGGTGTCAGCTGACGCGACCCCTTCAAGCACCTGATTAGACCAGCTCTCAGCAGATACAGTGGTAGCATTCAGTTGCCCTTCCACACTAGGTTTTCCAGTGTTGCTAACACTAGTTGGGTTGAACTGGCATTAGCAATTGTGAGAAA